TGTCAATCCTCAAGAAACCTACTCTTCCGTTAACTTTTCGCTCACCATTTCTTTCCCAGACAAAATACTCGTCCCCCGCAAAACCCCGTACACATTATAAGAATGCCCACCGTTTCGAGTACCCCGCGTTGTCCCCTGGGAACCTAATCCAGAGGGAGCAAAGAGTGCACGATGAGGGTCTTGAATGGTTGGCGCGCTGTGCTTACTACGGACGCGATCGCTGGTTCAGAGCCGGAGTCCAGCCTAAGCCACTTAAAAAGTACGGAAATCTTGCGGGCCCGAAAAATGCCACGTCCGATTAGAACGATCCAGTGCCTTATCTCCAGAAAAGTGTCTTATACTTGCCATGTGCTTGTATGAGATCTTTTCCCTCACAGAGTCGTAGGAGTTTACTCTTACAAGTACTCACCATTCTTTGGAAACTTCGACTCCTCTGTTTCAAGAGTCAAAATGTCCATCGTTCCTAATTCCCACAATTTTTGGCTCCTTATCATCCATTTACCGGGCTTACACTTTCCCCGATAAATGCTTTTATTTGTTGTCCAGCTCGGTCAATTGACTGACTGGCAACGCTAAGTAAGTAAATCTAGCCCTATATACTATTAAATATTCTACCAGGCCTGAGATACTGGTGGCTATTTAAGTATAGCATTGTATGGGAGGCACAGGTACTAGTCCCCAAGCTTGCATTCAAGTTAACGACTGACAGAGGCTAGGTCTAGGACCTTTAGTCAGACACAAGGATCTCCCCGGAGTGTAACCCCCCGATAAGATGGTCAAAGAACGCTACCAGAATACATATAGCCAGCCTGCTATCATCCGAGTAAGTATGCCAGTGCCATTCTCTATCTCATCTGAAGCGCTTCTCCCTCTGTCTGGGTCCAAGTCCTGTCATTTCGGGGACCTGTGATCCCACTGCTCACCCTAAACCGAACGTGGCTAATAGTACATGACAGTTCAAAAGAGCTATACCAGATAACCCTGATTGAGTACTACTGGTGCCCTGTAGTTATCGCTTTTTCCTGAGATGCGCAAAACACGCTATTGGGAACGCGAAGAGCCAAACTCGGATCATTTGAGTAAGTATGCCAGTGCCATGCTCCATCCCACCTGAAGCGCTGCTAACGTCCCTAATAGTACCTTTTGAGAATCAAAAGAGCTGAAACCAAACAACTCCGGCTGAATACTTCCTCCAATCCCTCGTTCTCGCTATTGTTATTCTTCGATCTCCAACACTACATGTTATCGATTTAGGAAAGTTATAATGGGCATTGTACAGAGGGTTGGCATACCCTGAAGCTTGCTAGATGACTATATTACGACTATTAGATCAAATGAGAGCCACAAGATTCATAGCCGAATTCAAGAACTAATGAATACCCCTGCTGTTATTGTTTTTGTATATGGTATCTTCTTTGCCGACTTAAGGTGTGTTCACTCCAGTTGATAGAGTATAACTTGCAGCAAGTAGTTGTCTACTGGTACTCGTCACTTGTAGGCTATAGTTGAGCATGCCATTAGTTGCCTTAGGTGTAAATGTAAATCACGCGCCTCAAGCTATGAAGCTATCCTCACCTCCCGCACCCCCATCTGCCCTCCAAGTCTCCCACTCCCACTCTCTCCCTCCCTCTCTTACTCTCTCCCTATCTCACGATGGATGTAAGTATAACCATCTTTTCCTTCAAAGCTTCAAGTCACCTAGTGGCTTGACACCGAGTTCTGTAATAGCTTTATCATAAGCTTTGCTGAACTTCTCACTGCCTCAGAGCAGATTCTTTCTATTTATAAGCTTTGATATCTATTAATGTATACTAATCAAGTGGGAAAGACTAATACCAATGATACGAATGCTGTTGTTGCCCGCCTGGGCGAACTGGGGGACTTCTTGCAGGTCTACGCCAGAGGTTTCGCTGCTGCTGTAAGATTTTCATCCACTACTAAGATATTATCATAATAATCTTCCAAAAAGAAGCAGCAGTCAGAAGAGAAGAAGAAGAAGGAGGAGGAGGAGAAGAAGAAGAAGAAGGAGGAGGAGAAGAAGAAGAAGAAGAACAAGGCAAGTTAAGCTTACATCTATCTAATATATTTACTAATAATTATTAGAAGGATGCCTCCGCCCCCCCCGACCCCGATGACCCCAAGTCAATGACTAAGAGGGCTAAGCGCCATCGGCGCCGTCGCGCCGCCAAGCAAGAGAAGAAGGTATATATTTACTTTAACTCAAACTCTTTATAATAGCAGACTGACATAGACATTAGGTGAAGGAAAAGATAGAGTAGAAGGCCAAGAAGGACAAGAAGAAGAAATCATGGAGGATGCTGTAGATTTCACTCTCACTGAGTGAATTTTTCTTAAGTAGTTTAATTTAAGACAAGGATGTCTTTGTGAATTTTATTCAGAGATGCTTGCTAAGTAACTGGTATACATTAGTTTATTTACTTTGATTACTGGCCTCCTATCCCCTGCAGGATGTAGATGGTCATTTAAACGGTAGTAGTCTGCTAGCGAGAGATGTGTTGTCAAAGCGCTGGGACGTAATCGGCACAAGCTGATTAAAAGACGGCTGTGGTTGTAATAGCGCGCATGCACGGTGTTACTGTAAGTACTTTGGCATTGGAGTCTTGATCCATGGTACACTATGACTGACACTTATTATCCTTTCAAAGTGCTACATAACAGTACTTGCGATTACGGAGGATTGAAATAACAACGGACCCACTGATTTCTCAACACGCTAGTCAGCACATGGAAACTAGTATACACTCTCTCTCCTGGGTACGGTGTGAAGATAACTGGAGAGCACGATGCACTGGGGAAGAGGCTAATAGCGTCTTCTACGAGTAAGAGAAGCTTCTCCAGACAAGGACAGAGGTCTAACATTGTTCGATCTTTCTAGGGAACGATAGCGCTATATCCAAGCATCACGACGGTGATATTCAGCACACCGAAGAGCACCTACCAGGCCGTTAAGCGATTGTCCTGTCTATTATACACGATCCTCACCCTACGATGTGTTGGTATACTTAACATGAAGCGTATTAAAAGCTCCCAATAAGCTGAGCGCGAGTCAGTATACTTTTCTTATCAATAACTCTACAATCACGTTCTGATACTCGATAGCAGAGGTCCACTGATATTTTGCCCTCTTGACTAAGCGACCTGTCGTCCTCCTTCGTACGCGCGATTCGATACACTTGTCATATTTATACTATAACATCTGGTCTTTCCATAATACTAAATGGGATATCTTGATCCGCATCGTGATCTTGGCCCTAGAAATACTCTGTATCGTTAATTCCCGATCCTTTTCTGTCTCACCCCCCGAGTCATATCTCGCAAATTGGACGAACGAGCTCTCAATTATCGAGTTCATTTGACAAGATGATCAAGCACGATATAACTCCTCTGAGCACAATCGGATCACATGCAGATGGCATCGAAGTGGATACGTCGTGAACTCATTACAAAGTGTCCACAAATATCGAAATGCTAACGCGTTATCGCAACTTTATAACAGATGAACAACAGCTTCAAAGACAGAACCGGAACCTATACTACCAACCCATCCGGTGTCCACAGGGAATACCAGTAAACTTTTGGTACACCTTCCTGCGCCAAAGCCATTGTCAAACTTCCCCCGGAAGTCATCGCTCCACTACAACCTCCTTCTACCTTCGCATCTATGGCTGCTGCGCTGCCCAACCTCCGGTCTCTACTACTATTCCACAGCAGGAGAAAATTAAGGCCCTGTTTAGCAAGAAGACAGTATCTAAGAGAAAGACTGTCTTAGCTATGACATGTGAATCTAAAAAACCCCTAGATATATTATATATCGCCACAGTGTCAGTCTTACTTTCTTAACATGGCAAGCAACTAATAGGAAACGGCAAGATAACCGCTAAGCAGGTTAAAGAGATCGAAGAAAATTTTTGAGAACCGTGAAGTAGGGTCCCTACCTGTTGTTCGAGTGCCTACTACTTTCTTACAGTCAGTGTCATGATAATAGATCCATACCTGGACGAGCAATCTCTCCGCGCTACCGAACAACTATACTTCGTTCGATGTACAATACCGCTCCTTAAAGTGCTTGTTCATTGCTAAGTTCTCATCTGATTTATATGCAAACTCCCCGAAGAAATACACTAATCGCATGGTCAACTATAGCCTATTACTTCCATGTCATCCCCATTCCGCATCCTCTCCATGAATCTCACAATCAGTGTACTGCTGTCTAAAAGAGGCTCAGGTGTCCTATTGGTCGTTATCAACAAATTTACCAACACGACTCGGCTTCTTTCAGGCAAAACAATTTTCCGCGGCCATATTTTGGATCAAACAGTACTTTTAACAAGTCCGGTCTTATTGGGGCTTCCTGCAGAGGGTAATCTCCAATAGGATGCCAAATTCACTTCAGCCGTTTGGTCATATCTATTGGGGAGAGCTGACGTTGATTTGATCTTACAGAGGCATGGAAAGTCAATCTATGAATGAAACTGGCCGCGTCATATACACCTGGTATTGTGGTATTGTGGCTCAACAGTCTCCCCTGATGGGCGGCCACTCGTTCAACATAGGAACCGAGACGGTATAGCTAGTGGAACTATGCCCTGAAAGGATATACTCATCGCTACTACTGCTGGGCATCTGAAGAACTTATTTCGGAGATACAGGCACCCTTGCTACTCATGTATTGCCCTGGTGTTTCACTCGATTGTACTATACAACAGAACAAGCAGAATAGGAGGAAGATGACGATGAATACGACATAAACATACCGTCCAACATTGCACCGTATCTAGTACCTATATTTAAAGGGTATACAGTATGGGCCAGGATTCCAGGAATAAGTCATCAGCTGGAGTAGCAATGTGCATTTAAAAGCTCGGAAAGCTTCCAAGTCTACAGCAGCCTAAATCGACAAAACGCGGGGGGGGGAAAGATATCTGCAGTTGAGATAAAAGCTCTATTTTAATCTTTCAATCATTACCATCACCAATCAGAGCATGTTAGCTCAGGGGAAGAGCGCCGGGCTCATAACCCGGAGGTACGATTTCACCTCTCCAACCAATCATAGTCCGATTTCTAACAAACAATAGGTCCCTGGATCGAAACCAGGACATGCTAAACATCTTTTTGTCCCTTAGTAATAAGGGTCTTAGGATATTAGATGAGACATTTCTATATTTTAAATAAATCACGGATTGGTTATTCTCTACTAACGTAGTCGGTAAGCGAACGGGCCACTGTGATATATCATATACCATATAAAATCACTTTTTCTATCTCAACAACCAGAGCTGCTAGATATCTAAGATTTAATATAGACACTTATATTTAATTTAGATATCATATACTAAAAGTAGAGAGCTATCTATCAAGTAGTTCACTGAGTAAAATAAATTACACTGTATTTTTTGTATTTTATACATAATAGTATATAGAGCTTGAAATAAAATGTTTAAAATTTTTAAAAAATATATTCTATATTTATTTACCTTAGGTCCTTAGATGTATCTCTATATTAAGTATTGTATTGTTACTGATTCTGGTTGTTGAGTTATTCAGATTATAAAAAGCGCCTTTTTATATGGAATACAGAGATGGCCCGCTCGTTTGCGTGGCCCTCTCGCTTACCGTTTACGTTAGCTCTTATTCACCTCGGCTTACCAAGAATCAGTAGTTTGCTTCAACCATTCCTATACAAGAGTATGAGGCTGTGAGATAGCCTCTCGCGTTTCAACAACTCCAGTGCTCTCGCCTTTAAGTAGGGACACAACTGTGTCAGAGTCTCAATAATGAAGGCCATAGATCTTCTCCTAGCCTATTACTTTTGGATATAGCCACCCTATGACATTACCACCTCCAGTCTGGAGCTTTTACCTACAGTTTAAAATACAAGAATATCCTGCTTCCCTTCCTACTTTCCAAGTGTATGGGCTTAGAAGATGTTGTAGCAACACTAGCGGCACTGCTGAGTCCTGCTCCCTCGCAAATTGCGACCACAATTCTTGTGCTGGGGGCAGTTTCCCACCAGACCATCTGCGCGACTGAGATTGATGATCGAATCTGGTCGCTGGAGCATTTTATCTAGGGACTTGACTCTCCGTATGCAACGGCTATATCTGTGTCTTCTCAATTGATTGGCTCCATCCGGTCGAATAGGCTTGCTTGCCTTGCGGCGTGCTTTTCCAATTTGGGACTGACGACGAGTATCATTCTCTATCGAGCCTTCTTTCACCTGCTAGGTCAATTTCCTGGGCCACAGACGGCTAAGCTGAGCCAAAAACGATAAAACCCCAAGGGATGTTATACCCTTTGTGAAACCCCCTGACGAGAAAGGCCAGTCTGCTCCCCCCTAGGTAAGCAAGCTCCCAATAAGGATGGATGTCTGCTGATTATCGCCGGAATGTGAGAGCGTCGTTTCCCCCCTACCATTCATATAAAGTTCTGGAACCTCATAAGTGACACTACTAGGATAACTCTGGTCCATGTGTTATACTATCTTGCAAAGAACCCTCCAGCATACAAAGATATGCCTACTGGTCGGATATTCATGAAGATACTAATCCTTTCCAATTTATTGTGTAGCTTCTTTATCTAGGAAGTATCCATGAAACTTAGGACAAAGGAACTGATGAAACACAGAAATCGGTGGTATAAATTTACGCGTACAATGGACATGATGGACAAGTGGATTTTGATAATGATACCCTGAAAAGTGAATATTTAAGGCCGTTGCTGTCCCTCCTCCCTCCACACACACAAAATATAGAGTCGCTTGATGTACTAACACCAGCTTCAACAGCATCAACTTTGTATATCTAATCCTTTCCAAAATATTTTCTCCAACCCTTCACTCTATTTCACGCTATCATGGATCTACCTTGCGAATGCATTAAGAACGGCTATGATGAATGTCTTTGTCGATTCTGTAGGAGATGTGGAAATTTTGGCCACAGGATATACCACTGCAGAGCAACGCAATGCGGCCAATGCAAATCGTGGCATCTGTTAAGAAAATGTCCCCTTGAAGTGAAACAGTATATTCGAATGCAAAGGCCCCAGAGCCCTTCATCCTCTTCGTCCTCCTCATTCTCCGAAGAAGAGCTCATCCAACCAAGCACGAAGACTCTTGATGAAGTAAGTTATTACCAGTCAATAAGTTATCGAGCATAGTAGAGAGGTACTTAAGGAAACATACAGAGCGATATTTCACAGTTAAATGCCGACGCTGAATCACCTAAGGGAAACCAGCTAAATGAGAACCCTAGTGTTGAAGGGCCTGCAAGGACGAGAAACAACTTTATCGCAGGCGTAGTTGGGGAACCACTCCAGCTTCAAAATATCGGGCCTGTTGATCGTGCGCTCATACTAAAGCAGCTCATTTCAAAAACAGCAGAAAAATATGACGAGAGGTATGCGTCGATATTAGACACAGAAGATATTGGGGCAATTCTGGAACAGCATTTGAATCCCACTGTAAGGGACATCTGCAAAAACGGTGAATTTACGCTCTCGAAGTATGTCACCCGCTTCTTCTCCCATCTTAGCATGTTATTAATAAAGGGAAATAGTCTCATAGCAATTGGTCAGAACCCAGAAAACCTATCTATTTGTGGAGTTTACCTCCACATCCTGTGGAGGAGGAGCAACTCACGAAATTTTTGGTTATACGTTGGACAGGGAGCAGAGCTTCGCGAACGCATTCGAACCCACAACGATATCTACCGCCGGAAACGTAACCCATCGCTGCATTATCATGTTTGGGACTCAGCTGAAGACATGGAGTCAATATTCGTCACACTAGGCACCAGTGAAAAGCCAACATCTGTCAAGACACAGTTATTGCTGAACCTCCTCGAAATGTGGATGGCGCTGGTCTTCCAGACATTGACATCGTTGCACCTAGATGAGTATCTACCCGACAGTGTAAACAGACTCTGGTCGGGGCATCACCTTAATGTTGCACTGCCTTTGTGGCAAGGCTTCACAGATGAGGACCAAGCTGTAAGTGAGGCAGTTGGTGGGCGAATATCTTTTCAGCAGCATTTATTTTCTGAGGACCCGACTATTCGTCAATGGGCAGAAAGTGCAAGAGACGCATTCAATGATATACGAAACTCCCCCGACGCTCTCCTAAGACAGTATTACCAAAACCTTCTCTCCAAGCGTCAAGCCCAGGGCCAGCAAACCTGGCAGAAAAAGAAGTCGATGAACATTATGAGGTACTTGGAACCAACGAAGACAACGGTAAAGGTGTCCCACGAGGGTGAAATGTGTGAAGTATCCTGCGGTTCCTTCAGATTTACAATAACTCAGTTGCTTGGACTACATTTGAGAGATGGTGACGAAGTCTTTGTTCAACTTCACCTAGCTGGGAGCCGTCACCCCAACGCCTATACTCACATGGCCGAAGCAAGAGACCCGGCAAGTCGACTGGCAATTTCGATCAGCGGTCATGATACCCAGGGGAGCTTCCACGCCTGGCTCCAAACCAAGGGGTCTCGAAATGTTTTCAAAATGAATTCTCTAGTGGATGTGTTGGAGGGATATTCCTTGGAGGAAAGTAAACAATTTCAACGGCGTTGGCACCCAAGGAGGATGGTTTCCCGTGATAGTTCTTCGCGGAAACATGTGTATACTTGAGCATGAACAGCCCTCGGTGATGAAACTTATCTCGGCAAGCGCTGCTCCTCTGGACGCACGGCAGCCTCTTCTTGTAGAGGGTTTAAGAAGCATTTAATTCGTTTTTAGGCGCTTTAGGAATGAAATTGATTAGGGAAGGAGAAATTTATCTAAGATGTAGAAGAACCAGCCAACGGATCGTGCATCTTGAGTAACTCTATATCCTTATATCTTATCCCACTTATAAGCTCACTGCGTTGTGGATGCGACAATCATATATGTAGCTTTGCTCTGAAATGTTGCGCCACTTGACCTAGAATCTTAATTCTTAATACAAAGAAGTTATAATTCTCTAAAAAATCAGGATTTTAGTCGGTTAGTACGACTACTAGTAGGACTTGGGACTATAGGACTACGGCAACAACGCCGCCAATTCGCAATAATTTAATTTCCTATGTTCTGAAACTTCTTCTGCCGGCAGAATAGTTCACTATACTGAGAGGCTGCTGGAATCGCTTAGTCTCCTTGGTCTGCGTGGTCTATACGGTCTAATGATATGATCATACCATATATGATTGTAATTTGTAAACTACTAAATCAATTAGTTAACTAGAATACTCCCCGGGAAAAGAGGTGAAAAAAATTGGGAAATATAGACCAAGCTTGCTGGTACGAAACCCTAAGATAGGGATTATAGAGCAAAAAAGATAGCATGTCCTGGTTTCGATCCAGGGACCTATTGTTTGTTAGTATTGGACTATGATTGGTTGGTGAGGTGAAATCGTACCTCCGGGTTATGAGCCCGGCGCTCTTCCCCTGAGCTAACATGCTCTGATTGATGGAAATTGAAATATATCTTGTAGTATAAAGAAAGTTATTATGGACCTGTAAAGGGCTGTGATTCTGGGATGGCTTGCCGACGACCGGTATTCGATTTTGCCTCGTGTCTGTACTACCCCTACTTAATACAATCAATTATAGGATGACTGCCACCACAAGGAGACGATGGCACTGAGCTACAATGTTCTCTACAAAAGCTCAAAATATAGGACCTGCGTTGAGAATAGTCTTGCTCAGAGAAATGTGATATGGGCTCAAGATATCATATATTTTCATAAATCATGTCTCGTGGGTCTCCTCGAAGGCAGCGTAACAATATCTAAATAATTGTTCCAGCAAATTTAGAGTAGTGTTGGTCGTGTCGTTTAATCATGATGGCTGTAGATCAAGGGAATTCAGGCAATGCTCTCCACTTTAAAACACGCTCACCGGGACATCAGATAGGTATATCACCACCTTCCCGAGGGAGGTCTCCCACGTCTGTCATCAACCAGCTCACGTTGCTTCATCCGTCGCTCTTCACGAGGCCGGAAGGGAGGAGACATCGGTCTGTCCAACATCAATGGCGGTTCTCCTGGCATTGCCGCTGGTGGTGCTGGAGGCGCTGGAGGAGGCATAGAGCTCCTTTCACGGTGAATTTCTTGGATTCGTCGACGACG